GTGTCAGGAGCACATCATCTTACCCAAAATAATCAATTAGAATCAATAGGGGCATGGTTATAATCCAGTTTTTGCAATGGCACATTGAGTTACTTGAGTCAGCTAAGCGTTTCACCCAAACTACAAACGCCAAATGTTAGTCTACTAGTGCACTAAACAAATTATTTACCCGACTACAAGTGCCATTTAATCTCCACCTTCACAGTTTCAGTTTATCCCTCTGGCCAAGCTTGTTGAAAAAGTGAGCAAGGAAAGCAAAGAAAGCACCCAAGCAGCACATAAAAAAAGACAACACAAGCACAGCCCAGTCCCAAATCCTTCTCTTTGGAAGATGACTCCTGTCAGACATGAGCAATGCCCTGTAAACCGCTTCAGTTAGAGCATAAGCTGAAATGGGATCGAATTCCTCTGCAAGGAGTCCATACTCTGTAATGCAAACAATGTCATAAACTCCAGTAGTCTCCATTATACCCAGATATTCACAAATTTTCAACCGCCCATCGATTCGGTCCTCCATTGATAACTTGTCACCATGAGTCAGTATCAAGATAGGGTCCTCATCTGCATCCACAATGATCACACATGAGTATTATCGAACATTATTATCTAGTTCTAATGATTGACTAACTTCGGTTTGATTTTGGATTAATCAAGTCTAGTTAAATTACACTAGAGATCAACTGTCAATAGCAGAGCAAACGGAAGCTGAGCCTGGCAGTATGTGTTAGATCGTCTGACCCTAACTCAACCTATTTATTAAAAATGTATTCCTAGGATTGACATGCATAACTCATGGATCAAAGATCCAAATCCCTTTCTCTTTCAATTAAACTAAACACTCGAAGGCTTTTCACAAACCCAATATTCTCTTGGCCCACAAACCACTCATAAGCTACTATACAGAATAATCGAACAAGTTTTTCTTCATATTATAATATCAGCAGCCAAGTTATTTTCGTAATTAATTATAACCCGCCAATTGATTGATATATCTCTCGAAACAAAGAGAAAAGGAAATGAAAGATATAGAAAATTGTCCCTCCTAATAACAGGCAACAACTTAGAAGGGGCAAGTTGCAATTGATGAGAGTCTAATGAAGAACAACTTACTGCGTTTCCGCAATGCCGGTGAACAGAAGAGCTGTCTCAAGGCCTCCAGTGGATTGCTGTCACTTGCTTTTAGAGCTTTATAGATCTCTGCAACATTCGCCACCACCATAACATAATTCACCCTTCGATTTGCAAACTGCGAAGAAGATCTTAAGAAATTAATCCCCAATTCATCTTTACTCGATGACAAACGGTCCCCTGATCTCAAGCAGAGCTGGTTATGGTGAACTCCATCAGTTATCCATTCTGACAACTCTTCAAGACTCTCATCAACTCGATCATACTCAAACCCCTCGTGTCGTACACACAAAATCCACTTCGCATCGACCTCAACACATTGTGCTCCTCCAAAAATAAAGTCTTCTGATTAGCAGCATTCTCTAGAGATGATTGATTAGAGAAGACCAAAAATGTCATTGGTTCTTGTTGCAAGAATAATTCTCATAAGCTTGAAAAATGCCTTACCAACCTCGCCCATTTTCCAAAAAATAAAATTACACTTTAACCCCCTAAACTATGTTCCTCATTGCATACTGCTCCTTGAACTATCCAATTTCTTATATTGAAACTTAAACTATTGGTTTGAATTTCGCATTAATAATTTATGTCCAATGTTTCATGACAAATCAAACATTGAACAGAAGTTATCACTTGGGACAATGTAAAACTCAAACTGGAGTTGAAGTTATAATGTAAGACGATGGGTAATTTCAGGGAAATATGCAGCAAAAGGCATAGTTCAAGGGGTCTGAGTACAATTTGATCAAAAAAAAAAACAATAGAGATGTTCAACCATTGGTAAACAATAGAGATGTTCAACCATGACATGAATTGAAATCCAAAGGATAAGAAGCCCTAATTTCAGACACCATTGGCTTACCTGAAGATGTTTGGGCGAAGGGGATGAGTCCAGACCGTCCAAGGACACTGTACATCAAGTTCACGAGCGAGCTCTTGCCAGAATTATGGAAACCTACTAACAGTAAAGTGACAACCGGAGGAATGTCCATCTCTTCCTTCCTAATTCCCCCGGTGGGCATCCAGAAATCCCCAGAACGGTACGCGAGAAGCTTGTGCCGAAGCTCGTCGAGACCTTCGGGTGCAATCAAGGCCAGCCGCTCCATTTCTCTGAGAACTTTGATTCTGGGTGTGATCTTTGACAGGTTCGGCATCTCCAACTTGAACTTTGCCAGTTCCTCGAACTTTGCCGCCGATCTCCACCAACACCACGCTGCCTCCGACGAATTATGCTCGTCTTCGTCCGCAATCGGTAGTTGATCTTTCATGTCTACCTTTGAAAATTATGATGTTTATGTTGAAATGGTGGCAAACTGTTTGAGATGTATAATCATTTGGTCAAGTCTTACTGTTTTTGATGATTTTGCCGGGGAAGATGGGGACAAAAGAGTCCTTTCCGTCGGTTGTCCATGTGACTAGCATCTTGCTCATCAACAGAGCGACCATCGTCGATCGTCGGGCAGTGAAAGAAGTTTCCAAGAACCTTCTTGGCTCAGTACTGTATTTTGTATTTGTACTCTGCAATAATTTTTTTTTTTTTAACTGTTCTCTGCAATAATTGGAAATACCCTTTTGCAAACGTTCACACAACTAATAACCCAAAATAGCTCGAGTCGAAACCACGAACAACTTGGGTTATATTCAAAAACGAGTTATAAATTTATGCGTCGTAAATTTAAATTTTAAAAACCCTTAATATTAGGCTTTTAAATTCCTTAGGGCCAAGCTCTTAAATATTCTTAATCACAACATAGATAATTTATCTTCGATCAAACTGAAAAAAATCTATATAATAAAGTACAATACAATTTAAATTTCAAAAGATAAACAAAATGACTTTTATTTTTTGTAACTGAGATTTTTTTAAATTTTATTTTAAAATTAATTTAATGACTAATATTAATACCTTAAATTTAATAAAAAAATAAGTCTTTAAAGGTATGTTTGGAGTGACTTTTTAAAAGTACTTCAAAAATTTATATGATGGTCGCCACCCACCACCATCATATTATTGTCCACCACCACCCATCGTTAACGACCACTATCACCAACCCCTACAACATTTACCATCATTGTCATTCGCCATCACGCATTATACTGTTGTCCAGAAACATCTATCGTCGCCCACGACCGCCACCACTAGTGACGTCGCCCCACCACGATCACGATGACCGGTAACAACTATCACCGTCGCCCACTCACACCCACCACCACCACCACCACCACCACCGTCACCCATGACTGTCACTATTACCATCACCGTTGTCATCCACAACTACCATCACCACCACAATTATTGTCTCTCATCATAACCATCACCGTCTCCTATTACCACCACTGTCGCCCACCATCTCTCACCCCAATTACAATCGATGATTAAATTCATTTCTTTCCTCTATGATTGTGATTGTGATTTAATTTTAAACATGAATATAAATATGTTTATTATTGACTTTTTTTTATTACTCTGTGCCTTCAAGCCACATATAATAACTAGTATAAAAATAAACTGAGTCCAATACCATTAAGCACCCTTCACCGTTTTAAAAAAAAAAAAAAATTACAGTTGATTCATCCAAATCTCCTAATGTCTACCACAAGCTGAATCAATGTGACGGCTAAGTTCATAAAATCGAATAACGTTAATTAGAGGCAATAATACATGCATGCTCATTAATAAATTTGCTTTCCACCGTGAAAGCAGACTCACTGTCACCAAATAAATGAAGGGAAATTTCCTCCCTTCGTCCACCAATGAATGATATAAAAGGACAGGATATTTACTAGTCCAGATTCCAAATGTTGGGATGTTTGATCTACCAGGCAGTTCAGTAGTATACTTCTCAGACAGCAACCATGGTTTTTGCAGCCAAAAAATAAAATGGGAAATTCGTTTAAAACATAGTTACCAGTTTAGAATCGTTCTACAAGTACTGTCACTTCAGATCTTATAGATAAAACATACTATAAGAATTGAACACAAACAAATACTATCAAGATCACAAAATCTAGCAAAGGGCATAATTGGTTTAGAACAGTATATAATACTAACAGGTACCAATCTTTATATACTTCACAGAACAGGAGGTTTTTCAACATTAATACATAATGAACAACTTTCTTTTTCGTCTCCCTAGAATAATACATGCCCAAGGACGCAAGCCCTGTCTAACCAGAAAGACCAAAAGACAAACATCAACTATCACTCGCACAAAACTTAACCAGACCAAAAAACTTCACAAAATAACACAACATACCTGTTCCTCTATTCCTCCTTGCTATAAGCAAAACCAAGATCCAGGATAGCATGCTTTTACCGCAGCATATCCCTAATCCTTTACCCCCACAACTAGGGCACATGGAAAACAATTTAAGAAAAAAAAAAAAAAAGGAAAAACCAAAGTACAAAATAGGGACTGAAATAAAGACTCAATCGTTTGTTCAATTCCTCCTACATAAAGATTTCAAAAAAGTGTTTACCCTTTAACATAGTTTCAGGCATCACTCAGCCCACTTTTATTCAGGCCCTGTAGATGAGCAAACATATAGCGGTGGCATCTCCTCAATTAGACTAAAACGCAGATTGAAACTTGGCCTGAAGGTGCCACGCCTTCCTGAACCCAATGGATTGGACTATGACTTTATTCCGACATGAACATATCAGCCTGCAAATATCAGACCTCAATGAGTGTAGTTGCTTAATAAAACTGACTATTACAAAATGATGGTCTCTTCAAAATCTATGGGAATGTTGTATGAGTATCCTCCTATCAGGAGCATACATGCTACACGTTGAGTACAGATCAAATGAAGGTCAATTTACAGATCACATGAAGGTCAAATTACAGATCACATGCAACTGACTTGCACATCCAGCCAAGTTAGGCCATGCAAGGAACCCACTTTTGCCACGATATAACCATTCGTAGGGTCAAAACTATAAACAAAGAAGTATTATAAAAAGCACATTACCAGATAAATAATCTCACTTTAACAACTGCTCCAAGTGGAAGTGCATTCCTTCAACTGAAACTGAATCCACCAGATGGAACTGGGACTTCATTTCCTCCAAACTGAAATCCTGATTGAGAGGCATCACCTGGCGGCAACTGCTCATCATCCTCCAACCAATACGTTTCAAGAATCTTCACTGCCTTCTCATATATTTCGTTGTTGTCATGGCTCTGAAGGTTTTCAATCTTCTCTAAACCCTCTGCTGCATCTATCAACTGGGCATAGACATTTACATCGCCTGTGTTACCCAAGTTTTTCTCAGCTTCCCCAACCTTTAGAATATTTTCAAGCCCTTCCAAGCAGACAGTAACTATCCTTGGATCAGGGCAAATTAGGAGATCACACAATGGCTTTATACAACCCTGGCTCACCAAGAACCTAACCACCAGTGAAAAAATCACACCTCAAATCAATATGTAGAAGAAAACTGTCCAGAGTAGAGAATAAATTGTTAGAAGTCAACAATACTTGATTTGCTCGTGGGTTCCACCAGATGTAGCATTTGAAATTGCCCAAGCAGCCTCTTTCTTGATCTCAAACTCAGCGCTTTGAAGGAGTTGGACAAGAGGGGCAATAATACCGGCTTCGATTACAGCCTGCAGATTACAAAACACATGCCTTGAGGTTCATTACAAAGCAATGTACAATCTAGGATAACTTAGAGCATTAGACACAAAGCCTCTAACGAATGCAACATGGACAGGTCAACAAATCCAACCCAAATATTACACACCCCAAATTAAATTCGGCCAACACTCAGGATGGGAGCATCAAGCCGATGGCCCAACCGAACCCACCCTAATAACCCAGTTTAAATAATCAGGTTCAAACTGTGTTGAACAAAATAGTACTCAGGTTTTAAACAACTTTTTGCCTCCACCTCATTTCCACTGCTCTCTGAAACCTTAAACTCCCATTGCACTAGCACTCTAGTATCAACCCAAAAAACTCATCTCATCTCTCTCGGTCACATATGCACAAGCATAAAGCAGCATTTACGGCATATATTGGCTTTGGAATCAAGGCTACACTGCCATTACATGAGCTGATTGCATTGAGTGAAACTCTAGAAGCAAGCGTTACTCCATTTTTTGGTCTCTTGGAGATAATTCTGAAGTTAAATTTATCAGAGATTCAGAATTATTCATGGAAAGGACAAACAAGACTGGGAAATAGAGATAGGGGCCACAAGTTCAAACAATAGCACACAAAACAGTTAGAGCTTTATTAGCCATGGTGGGTGGAACACAGTGCTGGAGAGGATTGCACTGGTGTGCCTATCATTGGTACAGGGATGTGTGCTGCATTTGTCCTGCCGTGTGTACAGTGTGTCGATATCCTTTACTACTTTTCAAGTTTCAGGTAGATAGATTAAAGATTTCGGATGATTCAAGTATCATACTCTGACAAAGTATCTATTTTCCGAGTTAGATCTATGACCAACTGATAAATCCAGTGAGTCTAAGAAATAGTGGTAACATTAGTATTTTAAAGGCAACAGGTCCGTAAGTTGAGTAACTAGGCGGCTTCAATCCAAAATTCAACCAGAAAATGGAGTATTAACTTCCAACTAGAGTATTGGTAAAATAAACTCAAATTTGATAACCCAAGTTCAAATACTTAAACATGCACAGTTCTCAGGTTGCATGTTTCGGTTTGAGCTCAGGTGCAGATTGAGCTAGAGTTGGAATTTTTATAACTTAGATTGAGCTTGAGCTGACCCTCAACCCACCCTAGTTGCGCTCTTAATGCCTCTGATATGCTCACCTGTATCTGATCCCTATTCCCTGCAGTGATGTTCGAGATAGTCCAACAAGCTTCCTTCTTGATACTCTTCTTAAAATTATTTGTCAACAGGTTCACGAGGCAAGGAAGAGCTTGATGGTTTATAATAACCTGAAAAGAATTGACAGCGTCAGATTGTCAGCTACTGAAGGCATGTTTGACATGTTCAAATCTCTGAAAAATGGAAAATCAATGCTAAGATCAAAGTCAAGCCCGGTGAAACAAGAAAGCTATGATGCAAAGCTCTCAACATCAAAATAAAGAGAGAAAACAAAAGGTAAGAGGGAGGGGGGGAATAAATCTCATATACACCTCTCCAAAACATGATGGGGAACAAAAAGCCCATATCTGAAATTGCATCCTGGCACATTATTGCAACCAATAGAAGCTGTGTTGAAGTTCACTATTGAATTCAAACATGTCCGCTTATCAAAGACAGCAAAAAAAGAAAGATCGATAGAACTGAATCAAAAAGAAGAAAAAAAAAAACAAAGCGTCACCAACAATTTAAACCCAATTCAACTCGACAAAACTTTATGCCCACTGTTTGGGCTTACCACATAAATTCGTAAGTACAATAAATCAGCACAAAAACAAAAAAACACAACTGAAAATGCCATCAATATGCAGATCTAGGGAGTTGTTTCGGCAATGTCATTAGCCAAATATATGCACATGTTATTTAAGTAACTTTAACAAGCGGGAAGGCTAGCTTTCCGCATATTTGCGTACATAGGTACGAGTATGTTTTTAAACACACACACACACAGGAGACAAAAAGATACAATATTTTGAGCATAAAATGGTGTCCAGTACCTGAGTTTGAATATCATCCCCTGTAACAATATTGCCAACTGTGCGCAAAGCAGGAATAAGAACTGAAGATGAAGGATGACTGAAAACCAAAAAGTTGGATGTTCAGGTATCTCAAGTAAAAGGTTAGAAAAATATCTTACAACCACAGACAACAAAAAATTGCCCCAAAAATCATAAAGAAAATATAGCACTTACAGTAACAACTCGACCAGACGTGAGCAGACACCAGCCTCAATGACGGCTTGAATTTTGTCATTAGTACCATCAGAAAGGTATGACATTGCCCAGCATGCATCCGTGAGGACTTCTTCATCGTTTGAATGTATAAGACGAGCAAGAGCGGGTAGGGAGGGCTTCGTCTGTTTCATTATTTCAAAAGCATAAACACCCGAGAAACAAGCATCAGGGGAAAAACTAATTGAAAAGGGGGAAACATAGGAGGAAGGGGATCTTCCAAGAGTCTAACCTGCTCAAATTGAGGTTGTGGCTTGCCCCTACAAAAATTTGACAAAGTCCATGTTGCATTTCTTAACATGGAAAGTTTTGCATGCTCATTGAACTGTGCCAGCAATGGCATCAAAGCCCCATGATTCAGGACAAGATCACGGCATTTGGGTGAGTCACCAGCAACATTCCCCAATGCCCAAACAGCCTAGACAATTCGAATAATTTATGTATCATTATTCACAGAACCAACAGACAGGTAACTGTCCGTATTAGCACAACACATATTAGAAGTAATGCATAACAAAGAATGCATGAACTTGCAAGCTTTTACAAACGATAGGTAGGTAGGTACCTGTTCACGAACATCGTCACTAGGAGAAGCAAGAAGTCTTACAAAGATTAGAACTGCACCGTGATCGATCACAACTTTGGTGTTTTCAGAGGTACCAGATGCAATATTTGTAAGAGCCCAAGCTGCCTCAAACTAAAATAAAACCAAGACATAAGAAAACAAAAACAAAAAAAATCAACGATACCACACAAAAAAAAAAATCAGTTATCATGAAGTCCAAAGTTCAAACCTGGAGTTGTGGGTAGTCATCCCTAGCAAGAAACTCAATAAAACGGGGAACAACTCCTGATTGTATCACTTCCTCAATTGGAGGATTGCGTTCTGATGAAAGAATAAAAGACTAAATTAACTAAAGAAGGGAAAGTTGAAACAAACAGATTTCTTTTTTTCTGAACAAGATAAAATAGAAAACCTATTGATAGCAGTTTCCGAAATTGAGTGGTGGCTTCAAGCTGTAAATTGCTGTCATTTGACCAAACACCAGCAACCATTGCGGGAAGACTTTCTAACTGCAGCCAAGGTAGCATATAGAATTCCATAAACTTTGAATTCAGGAATACCTATCAGTTTACACTTTACAAACAAGCACTAACACACATCCATAACAATGTCATATCCCTATTTTCCCCTTTCAACACATAGCAAGTAATGGAATGTGACTTAACAGAGGCAGAGCCACGTAAGGATAAGGGAAGCACTTGTTCCCCAAAAACAAATGTTTTATTTTTTTATTGAATAAAAAATATGTGAAATGTCATAGCCGGTATATAGATTTGACTAAATATATTTCAATTTTTTTGTGTCATTTTTGCTCATATTTTATTTAGAATAAATAGAAACTAGTTTTATTAGTCTTAAATCTTATAAATCTTGTCATGCTTGGATTTCAATTTTTTTTTTCTTTGCATTGATTGTATACATCTGAATCTCCCCAAACCCCACACCCCACAGCAACAGAAAGCCGCGTGCCTTGGCCATTTTTGATAAATTTCTTTAATCATATTTGTCCCCCTAACCTGTCTTAAAAGATAAATTAAGACAAGAATAACAGCCAAAGATTGAATCACTTTGAAGGTGATTAGCCTCCTACCACGAAAATATGTATTTTTTCTCCTCTTCATCAAGATTAGATTTAGGTTAGCTTCCCACTTACTAAGGATGCATCCATGCTGGCTTCAACATTATAGTAAGGAGATGGTATTCAACTCACAGGGGTCCTTGCCGGACAACAGACACCCCTCCTCTCCATGTTCTGCGAATATCTTCTTTGCTATATATCAATTTTTCTATTGGTATTCTATTGCCATGTATATACAGTTTGTTATCAATATCTCTCCCAATATGTCAGGACTCTTTCACCAATACTGAATAGTGTATGATTCTACATCAAATACTTCATTAACTATCCCCGCTCATCACGCGGCGACCGATAACCAAAAGAATAGCGACAAATCAAATAGATTAAGTTGAAAATAAACAAGAATAAGCTAATATCACTCTTGGTATTCACCAATAAATAGTACAATCAACTCCAGGGCTTGAACTTTAAACAAAGAAAAAACATACTCAAACACGCACGAACCTTCTTTTCGAGTTGAGAGACGTTGACGCTGTTTGGGAACTGCTGAGCTTGAAGGCCCTCGCGACGCTTCTTGAGCAGGCTTTCTTCTCTTCTGCTCTTTCGGATCTCAACCATGTTGTCCTCTCTCCTACGCCTGCCTTCCTCTGCATCGACGGCGACCTTGTATCGGCTCCGACGAACCTCAGTCCTTGCGCTGGGCCTCAGTGACATATTTGCTCGATCGAATAAGAACCCTAACTCGCTATACGAACAATCCAAGTAAGTAGTATTGGCAGATAATCAGTCAGGTTCGAGAGTCGGTAGAGATTAAAACCAAAAAATGCGAGAGAGAGAGAGAGAGAGACAGAGAGAGAGTGTGGAGACGGTGGCGGTCCAGAAGAAGTGAAAGCGCTGAAGTAAGAAGGGTTTGGATGCTTTTTCCAAAGAGTCCAGATGAGCGATCATCATAGCGGTTAATTAAACTATCGCTAAATACGAGAAGGGACTGATGTTAAGATTATTAACGGAAATACCATTGAATTTGAATTTTAATGTCAGGTGTGTGGTTAGCTGGGCGGCAATTGCTTACTTTCCAAGGAATGTACTTCCATTATATCTCTACCGTCTCTATGGTGGACTTGACTCCATTAGGGAAGAAATAATTTCGGTATTGTAGTTTTAATTTTTATTATAAAAATATTTTATAGGAAAAATTACACTCATATTCTTTAAGATTTGTCATTTAATCACTCAGACCTCCTGATATTTAAAATATTATACTCAGACCTCTTAAAATTTATACGCACGAAACACTTAGACATCTACTGTAAATATATCTATTAATAAATTATATTTAAACTCCCTGAAGTTTGTAAACGTATATTATTTAAACCCTTTAACTTTAAAATGTTATATTTACACCAAAAATATTTTAATCAAAGATAAAATATTAAATATTTTAAATATTACAATTAAAATTAATGTTCTATTTTATCATTTATTGAAATAAAATAAAATTTTAAATTTAAATTTTTCCTAAAAAATTGTAATTAGTATACAATTATATTGTCTATTAGAATTTAATTTGATCATTTAAACGACCAAATTAAAATATCAAACTATCTCAATTGAAGTTAAAAGATATTATGTTCATTATAATTTGACCTCTTGTTTAATTTTTTAATTTTATTATAATAGATATTATAATTGTATATTAACTATGCTTTTTAAAAAAATATATAAATTTTTATTTTTGATTTTATTTAAATAAATGATATAATAGAACATGAATTTTGATTGTAAAATTCATGTTCTATTAAGAATGACTTAGACCCCATATTTATTTATTTTTGTTTTATTCTAATAGACAGTATAATTATATACTAATTATAATTTTTTTTAAAAATAAATTTTTTTTTTGATTTTATTTTAATAAATAATATAATAGAACATGAATTTTACAAAATTCATGTTCTATTAAGAATGACTTAGACTCCTTATTTGATTTTTTAGTTTTATTTCAATAAATAGTATAATTGTATATTAATTACAATTTTTTAAGAAAAAATAGAATTTTTATTTTTGATTTTATTTCAATAAATAATACAATAGAACATGAATTTTCCTTATAAAATTAAAAATATTTGATATTCTATATTTGTTAGGAGTATTTTTGGTCTAAGTATAACATTTTAAATTTAAGAAATCTAAATATTATATGCATAAAACTTCAAGGGGGTCTAGGTGTAATTTATTAATAGATATATTTACAGCAAGAGTCTAAGTATTACGCGCGTAAAAATTTTAGGGGTCTGTGTGTAATATTTTAAATGTTAGGGGTCTGAATAATTAAATAACAAATTTCAGGAGATCTGAGTGTAATTCTCCCTATTTTATAACTATAAAATTTATCACTTTAATGAGAGATTTATTATTTTTGTGAGTGTATTTTATCACATTTGTGGTAATTATTTTTATCATTTTTCTTC